AAGCAGAAACATTTCCAACTGATTTTACAAGACTGCTTTTAAAACCAAAGACAGCATGATGAAAGAAAATTACATACAGAATATGAGATACCATCCTGAATAAAAATATTAGTCAACAAAATCCCATATCGTATAAAACACACAACATGAAAAAGCAATTTATTTCAAAAATTAAAGGTTGAACATCTGTTTATGTAATTTACTACATTAAATGTAAAAAATTTAGTAAAACTACATGATCATTCCAATAAATGTGGGAAAAGCATCTGATAAAATTAACATCCAAACATAATAAAACAAAACAAAACTTCTCAGCACAATTGACAAAGGAAACTCCTTTGCCTGTTAGAGGATATCTACAAAAAAAAAAAGTCATACTCAATGGTGACACTTTACCAGCATTCCCTTTAAAAATCAGGATTAATCACAGCATATAAAAAAATTAAGTCAAAATAGATCAAAGGTCTCAATGTAAGAGCGGAAACTATAAAACTTAGAAGAAAACATACGTATAAATCGTTGTGACACTGGATTACACAATGGTTTCTTAGATATGACACCTAAAGCACAGGCAACCAAAAAAAAAAAAAACATAGATAAACTGGACTTCACCAAAATTAAGAACTTTTGTTCTTCAAACAACACGACCAAGAAAGTGAAAAGACAACCCATTGAATGGCAGAAATTTTTGCAAATCATATCTGATAAGATCCTTCTATTTAGAATATACAAAAAAAACTTCTACAAAGCAATAATAAAAAGACAAATCATCCAAATTAAAAAATCGGTAAAGGACATGAATAGAAATTTCTCCAAAGAAGATATACGAATGGTCAATAAGTACATGAAAAGATGCTCAACATCATTAGTCATCAGGGAAATCTAAATCAAAACCACCATGAGATACCACTTCACACCCACTAGGATGGTTGTAATTTTTTTTTTAATGGAAAATAACAAGTATCAGTGAGGAAGTGGAGGAATTGGAACTCTTATACACTGCTAGTGGGAATATAAACTGGCGTAGCCACTTTGGAAAACTGGCAGTTCTTCAAATGATAAAACACAGAGTTACCATATGACCCAGCGATTCCACTCCTAGGTATATATCCAAGAGAAATGAAAACATACATCCACACAAAAACTTGTACATGTATTTTCATAGCAGCACTATTCATAAAAGCCAAAAAGTAGAAATAATCCAAACGTCCATCAACTGATTAATGGATAAACAAAGTGTGGTACAGCCATAATAATGGAATATTATTCAGTAATAAAAAGAAATAAAGTACTGACACCAGCTACCACGTGGATGAACCTTGAAAACATTATGCTAAGTGAAAGAAGCCAGTCACAAAAGATCACATATTGTAGGATTCTAATTATGTGAAATGTCCAGAATAGGCAAATCTATAGAGATAGAAAGTGGATTAGTGGTTCCCTAGGGTTAGGAGGTGTCAGGGAATTTGGGAGGGGCGGTGACAACTAAGGGGAGTGGAGCTTCTTTTGGGGTAATGAAAATGGTCTAAAATTGATTCGGGTGATAGGTGTGCAACTGTCAGCATACTAAAAACCACTGAATTGTATACTTTAAATAGGTGAATTGTATGATATGTGAATGATATCTCAAAGTTTTTTTTTGTTTTTTTTTAAGTTAAGAGAGGGAAAAAAAATCCAAGACTAATACCAGGATGTTCACTGTGACACTTTTATTGAACATTATATCAAAGGTCCTAGCCAGAGCAGTATGACAAGAAAAATAAAGGTATAAGGTTGTAAAGAAAGAAAGAAAAATGTCTACACAGAAATCCCAGGAAAATCTATAGATAATTTATTTCATTAAGTGCATTATCAAAGTTGTTATTATAAAATCAATATACAAAAAAGTCCAATTTATTTCTATATACCAACTACAAATGCTTAGAAAATAAATTGTTTTAAGATACTTTTTTACAATAGTAGTAAAAACTATGTACCCGGAAATAAATCTAACAAAAACATTCCAAACGTTTACAGAGAATTATAAAACTCCACTGAAAGATATTATAGAACAACATTCAAGGCCCACACCTATCTGGTCTTCCTCTGAGAATAAATTTAAAAGGTGGATAAGACCAAATTATAAAAAATTGACAATGCCCTCTCTAGCTTAAAAACAAACAAAACATTGTCTTTTGCTTGCCCCTCTTTTAAAGTGTAAATATCTGAAGTCCATGACACCTTAGGTTTGTGAGCTGATGCACTAACAAATGGGATTTAGGTCAGAGAGGGGCTTCAAGGAAGAGGAGACCATTTCCAGGATCCTCATTCTCCAAAACCCTTCTTTTAACCCTTTCTCCTTTCAGCACTGACACCTAGAAAGGGTAATCTACGCTCACTGTCCCCACATTCCCTTTCCCACTCACTCCTTCACCCACGGAAATGAGGGTCCTGTCCCCAACACTATCCCCAAAACTGCCCTGTCTCTATTTCCAAATCCAGTAGACTCATTCAGTCCTGTCCCGTTTGATCCCTCTGCAACATCACAGTTGACCACTCTCTCCCTGTTACCCTTATGCCTCGATTTCCATAACCTCTCTCTCCCCTTGATCCCCTCCTCCTCAGTTCCAGAGCCAGCTTTTCTCTTTGCTCGTCACCTCAGGAGCAGGCAGTCTGAAAGGCTCTCCCTGGCCCATCAGTGGCTCTTCACTCCACTCTCTCTCCTGGGTGATCTCATCCACCCTCATCACTCAGCCCAGTGTCTTCTGAACGAATTTTTTCAACCAAGTTGTGAAGTCAATTTAATGGGTTGCCCCAGAATTTTTTTAAAAAAATAAAGTAGAATAGCAAATATTAGAGCTCATTTCTCACAATAAGGCCAAGTATTGTTTCACCAAATGTTTGTTTCAGTTGGGGATGCATGTAAGTGTGTTCTACATCCTAGGGTATAACATTTCTTCCTGTGGATCACAATCATAGAAGTTTGTAAAACACTGATTGAGATGGCTAAAAAATAAAATAAAAAAAACCTGTTGCCATCAAGTTGATTCAGACTCGTAGCGACCATATAGGACAAAGTAGAACTGCTCCATAGGGTTTCCAAGGAGTGGCTGGTGGATTGAACTGCTGACCTTTTGGTTAGCAGCCAAGTTCTTCACCACTGTGCCACCAGAGCTCCAACTGAGATGACTGGTGGCTCCAAAATGTGCATTGCTAGCCCGGCTGGTCCCCTCTCTCAGTTTCAGAGCTTCCTTTCCAACTAGCTGCTGGACAGCTCCACACGGCTAGCCTCCCCATGCAGATCTAGACTCAAACTTGTTACCGCTTTCCTCCGGAAATGGGTTGTCTCACATGTTCCCTACTTTGTTCTTCATACTCTTCCTGTCTGCCTCATCCTGCCCCTAGGGCCACATGCTCTTAGTACGCCAGCTATACAAAATTACTCAACTCTCCCTGTACTTTTCAACCCTGTTCAAGTTGTGTTTTACCCCCCTTCCTTCCTCCTCCACCTATGCCAACAGATTATTCCCCTTCCTTTAAGACTCCCTTCAATTGCCTCCATGTACCTTGAAGTCATCTGATTCGTTATGGTTCCCCTTCATCCTCAGAGTTCCTTGTCCATACCTCCAGGTATGGCTTTTATATGAGTTGGGTGCCTTTCTGTCTTCCCCACTAGGCTGGCTGCAAGTTCCCTGGGGGCTCTGAGACTGTGTCTATCTTGATCACCATTGTACCCTCAGCACTTCGGATGGGGCTCAGCACAGAGTAAATCCTCATGAAGTACTTGTTCAATCAAGAACAGACATGGGGAAGCCAAGGACATGGAGGACAAAAGGATAGCTCTGTTTCTTGCCTTTTCCTCCTAATCCACATGGTGTGTGCTCTCTCCCATAGAGATAGGAGCCCAGTAACCATCCACACTGCCCCACCTTCTCCCCTCCTGACCAACAGAGGTGTTTGCAAGATGGGCCCAGAGTTCTGACTGCTTCTGAGGGGCCTTCCCAGAAGTGGCACAACACAGGTAGAGTCCAAGGGTCCAAAGAAACGGATGCACATCGACCCACATCCCTCAATTCCTTCTGGTGTGAACTGTCCCACACCAGCAAAGGCAGAGGCCTCCAGCAGAGGGGAGGGGGATAGGTCTTTCCAAGAGAGGCTCTGATGTGGGAGTATCCTAAGGCAGCCCCCCTCCACCTCCAACACCAGCCAGGTGACCCGAAGCGTCTCTCCTCAGCCTGCGGAGCTGATAAGAGGTTGGCATGCCGATGTATTTTCCGCGCATACGGGGAAAGAGGCTGCGCCTGAGTTTCTCAGTGACACCTCCTACTGGTCTTTCTCTTAATGGAGTTTTCCTGTGGTGGGGAGGTGGAACCCACCAGGGGAGGAGGAACCCACCGAGGGAAGGGCTAACGTCTGCCGCAGCTCTGACCTTCCGGGCTAAAGAGAACCATCTATCTCAGGAAGGAGCAGATTGTGAGCCTCACAGACCCAATGGTTATGGGATTATAAGAATTCACCATCCCTGTCGCATCTCCTCAGTCTACTTTCAGCCCCACCTCACCCAACGCTCCTGGGAGGGGGGTATTTTTTCCCCCAAGGGTCCCCACAAAAGTTCAGGTCTCAAGAGGGTTTTGAGCCCTCCACCTCCAGGAGCCTCCCCTCCAACCAAATGGTCATGGAACCCGAGGTTTGGGGGACATCGACCTGACCCCCGCGACCGCTCCTGGCATTCAAAGGACTTATCGTCAGTTTGGCTGCTCCGAATTCTAACCTGCCCCCATTTTTCATAGCGGAACAAAGTTGATGGCCTCTTCGTCTAGCGCTGGGCAGGCGCTCTCCTCCGGCTTGGGGCAGATATGCGCTTCGGAGCGCTGTGAGCCAAGCCTGACGCGGAGGTGCTAAGGACCAAGTGCAGACCCTATGGTCATTCCCGCCAGTGACGCTTGAGCCAACGCGGCCTCCGCCACTGGGGGACTCGGCCACGGACCCCGCGCACCCCCACCTCGCTCGGACTTTCTTACCTCTTGATGTAGTTCCTGCCGTACAGTATCTGTTGCAGCAAGGTCACCAGTGCGAAGGCGCAGATGAAGATGAAGAGCAAAGTTCGGTTCCCCAGCAGATCCCGGTTGGCCGAGGGGTCGGCGTAGCGCATCCTGGCGGCGGCGCGCGCACGGCGGGGCGCGGCGGGTGCGGGGCACAGGCGGGCCCGGCAGTCACGCGCAGGGCTCGGGGACCCCGTGGGGCGCGTGTCCGAGCCGGCGCTTCATGGCGCGGCCAGGCGGCCGGGGGACTTCGCGGGGCAAGTTTCAGGCTGGAGAGGCCAGAGCTGGGGCATCCGCGCGTCCCAGCCCGGGCGGCGGGCAGGGCAGAGCCGGCGCCAGGAGCTCGGCCGCGGCCCGGCCTTCCCTCCGGGTGCCTTCACCTCCGAGCGCTCGGGGCGGCAGCCGCCGATTTCCGCGCAGAGGGGCGATGCCAGGTGTCCCGCGCCGGGGGCAGCCCCGCCCGCGAAAGCGGCGGCCAATAGGAGCGGGGCCCCGGCGCCGACCGCGGGTGCGCCGGAGCGCGCCGCGCATCACCTCCTCTACCCAGCTCTGGATCGCGGTGACCGGCTCGGGGTGCCCTGGCCGATGGGCCACGTCCAGTCCCCGGGCCCGCAGCGACGGAGCAAGAAGGTTGGCCTTCAGTAGTGCCGGGAAGGGGGGACCAGAACACCCGGGCAATCTGGCTAATGACAGGCGGGGGTGGGGGGAGTCGCGGAAAACGCCAGGTTTGAGTCGTAGAACTAGGGAAGGGAGCAGGAAGGGGAAGCCGCGGCTGCGGAGTCCGGCTCGCTGGAGGGGAGTATTCGCATGCGGGGCGCAGGGCACTGAGTCACCGCTGCGGCCACGACCTCTCGCTCTCCTGGCGATTTCTCCGGAGAAAGCCGAGCAAGGTCAGCCGTGCAGCCCTCAAGGACGGCGCGCGCGGCTCCCGCATGCGGACGGCCTGCCGGGCGGCTCGCCCGCGCCCCGGGCGCCCCATGCTGCAGGGAGGAAATTCAGGGACTGCCCGCCCCCTCCGCTGGCATCCTCCCCCTCCCCGACTGCAGCGCGTGGCTGGTCATCAAAGACCCTGCTGTCACCCCGACACTGGGATCTCGTCTCATCCTTGGAACCACTTGTAAATCCTAAGTCAAGCAGCCGGTCGTCTTCGGGTAACACGGTCCCAGAAAGCTTTTTGTAAGTCACTAAGTCGGGAAAGGGTTGTGCTACAGAGAGCACTTAAGGGAAAATAAACAGAAATGCAAAGCGAATGTCGTGCCTCTTCAGAAATCCTTATCCTCAAATGCACCCCCCATTCTGCCCCCCGCGCGCCGGGCAACTGTCCTGTCATCCTTACACCGCAGTGTCTCTGGGCGCCTGGAGTCTCGTGTGCCCTCCAAACACTTGGGCAGGTTCCAGAGTCAGACTGGGGATTCAACTTGAAACGTGACCAAAACTCAAACAGCAGTGAGAAAAACTTTGATGGGAAGCACCCAGACTCCAATACCCTGAGCCTCGCCATTTAGTAGTTTCCTCTTTGAACTGGAAAGAGCAAGGAAAGCCCGATAAAATCTCATGACTCGGGTTCCACCAATAATTTCAAATTTGTGTTAATTCACCCAAGCAAGGTAGAAATGGACCCTGGGCTGTCTATGAGGTGTTTATGTATCAGATAAATATTATCACAAGGTCACAGGTAGGTTTCTTAACCAATGAAATAACTCATAACATTCAGAGGGCCCATTATTATAATAATCCCTGCATTTGTGGGTGTCTTATACTTCACAAAGTGCTTGCTCCACATATATTAGTGAATTTGAGCCTTCTAGCCTTTGCTAACCATTTTACAGCTGAAAGAATCAAAGCACGGGGTGCTTAGAGTAACTCACCTGGCAAGAAGTATTTGTGAGGTGGTTCTTTCTCCCATACATACAGGCAGAGCTGGCTTTATCAGTGTGCAACCTGTGCAATGGCACAGGACATGAACTTAAAAGGGCCCCTGCTTGGTTTAATGCTCTCTTCTTTCTGTCTTCAAATTCTTAATAATTTTTGAGCAAGGGGCCCCTACGTTTCACTTTGCACTGGGCCAAAGTCTCACGCAAGTCCCAGGTTGACAGAGTACTAGTTTTTAACCCAGTTGGCCCTGAAGAGTTCAGGAAGCACTATCATTTCCGGCAAGGCACTCCTTCGTCTAATTTCTTTTCCCACTCAGTCCCCACCTCCTCTAGGCACCCACTCTGAGAGTTGTCTTTGGATGCATGTTTCCTTGTTAAAACAAAACAAATCTATTTTAAATAACTCCAAATTATTCTAAAAGCTTTTTCAGTGAAGTATAATATAGTTACAGCTAAGTGCGAGTGCACAACTCAAATACACTGAGTTTTCACAAGCTGAACACGCCCATGTAACCAGATCAAGAAAATGAACATTATCAGCCCCCCAGGAACCCTCCCCTGGTGCTCCTTTCCAGTTACTACCTACTCAAGAGTAGCCATTATTCTGACTTCTAACACCAAAGACGAGTGTTTCCTGTTTTTGTATTTTATATAAATGGAATCATACACTATGTTTTCTTCCGCGTCTGGTTTCATTTGTGATTGTGAGATTTATCCACGTTGTATGTGGTAGTCAGAATTCTAAGATGGTACCCAACATTCTTCACCCCTGCTGTACACACATTCTTCCAGTTATTCAATCAAACACCAATCTAGGTGCTGCTGTAAAGCAATTTTACAGATGTAATTAAGGTCCAAATCAGTTGACTTTAAGATAGGGGGACTATCTTTGGTGGGCCTGACCTAATCAGATGAGCCCTCAAAAGGAGCTGGCCTCCGCCTGGGAAAGAGGGATTTGACCGGAGGGAAATTTTTTGTTGTTGGTTTTGAAGATAGAGGGGACCACTGGGCAAGGAATGCAAACAAACACAGCCTCTAGGAGCTGAGAATGGCTTCTAGCTGACAATCGGCAAGGCAATGGTGGACTGTATTCCTCCAATTGCAAGGAACTGAATTCTGCCAACAATCTGAATGAGTTTGGAAGAGGACTCTGAGCTACAGCCAGCCAACACCTTAATTTTAGCCTGTGAGACTCTCAGCAGAGAACCCAGCTACATCGTGCCAAGACTTAAGACCTACAGAACTGCGAGCTATTGTGTGTTGTTTGAAGTTGCTAAGTCTGTGGTCATTTGTTTCACAGCAAGAGAAAACTAATACATTGTGTGCAGCTACAGTCAGTTCAATCGATTGCTGTACAGTATGCCATTGTGTGGAAACCCTGGTGGCGTACTTGTTAAGAGGTATGGCTGCTAACCAAAAGGGAAAGAGAGGATCTCACCACCACCAAGGAAGAAGGGCCAAGAGCTGAACATGTCCTCTGGACCCAGGATCCCTGCGCTGAGAAGCTCCTGGAACCAGGAGACTGAGAGAGAGAGAGAGAGCTGTAACACTGAAGATGGGGAGAAGCAGTGGCAGAGAAACAGCAGCAGGAGAGACTGGCAGGGGATGGCGTGGTGGGCTTCCTTGCCCGTGGAGGGAGAAAGCCGAGTGCCTTTGGGCAGGAGGCTTGCTGGGGGAGTAGGGTGCCTCTGGGCACTTGGTGGAACTGTTTGCTGACCCAGGGAGCTAGAGCTAAGAGCCTTTGGGCCAGGGCTTACTGCAGAGTGGGGTGCCTTGGGGCACTTATTGGCAGACCTAAAAGAGCTTTGTAACACTTGCCCGAGCAGGGCAGAGGCCAACGAGCCACAGAGAGTCGTGCCTGTGAGCATGGCTGAGAAGAGGCTGTCCTGATGGAAGAACTGTATCCTGAGAGCTCCTCAACCTGAATTGTAGCCTGTTACTTCCCTAATAAACCCCATAATCGTGAGTATTGTCTGAGTTCTGTGTGGCCACTGCAATGAATTATTGAATCCAGCAAAGAAGTAGTAGTGAGTGCCATGGGAGGGATGGTTGGTGTCAGAATTGGTAAAGATGGTGGAGACAGGAGGCATGTCTGACCTCCAACTCATAGGAATCTACCTTGGGCTGTTGATCTTGATTCTCCTTTCCCATTGTGAAGTTAGAGGAGGTCAGACACCGCCCCCATGCCATTTTTGCACTGGCTCATCTCAACAGTAAGCCAACAGCTAAGGGAAAATAACAACTCCAAACCCCAGGTACTTACTCTCCTCAATGGCCAGGTCACCTGCATGAATAAGCAGTGATTAAGATTGATGCTCACATCAGCCACAGTTAGAACTCTGTGGCAACACTATAGATGTGATGTATTTAAATCACCTCACATTCTCCAATGATCAGCAGTACTCCATTGTGCCTCTGCCGACACTGCTCTTCTAATCCTAATGGCATTTTAACTCTGATTATGATCATATCAAGTCAAGGAGGCATCTTTAACATACAAACACCCTCACAAGCATCTGTGGTGACATGTGTGATGTCTACCCAAGATCTTGAAATATGGAGGTCTGAAGCCCCTGTTATTGCTATCAGTATGAATCTAGGTTCCATTTTAAGCTGAATTCACATTCTGATTGCAGAACTGCAGCAAGTGCTAGAAGGCCTTGCAAACAAAAGAGTAAACACATGGATAACTGATCAACGTGCCAGATTCAGTAAACACTATTTTTACATCCTAATTGCCAGGAATGGGGACAGCTGCACCATTGTTTAAAACACACACTCATGCACAATTAAGCTACGAACAAATGTCAACACCGGCACAATCTGCTGAATTACTGATAACTGGAGGGCATTTCTCATGTTGTGAGCATTGTCTCTAATAAAAAAGTTTTTTGTTTTTTTTTTTTAAAAATAACCTGAGAATTTTCTGCTGGTTTAAGAAGGCCTGTTTTTATATCATACTGCATAACTGCAAACTGCCAGATTATGTAAGTGACATTCTACCCATGTGTTCAAGGAGATTGTGGTAAGTACATGCTGTTCTTGTCCTCTTTACATTTGTGTTAACAAATAAGGCCTATGAGAGGCTGATTCCAGGCTGTGGGGCATTTTGTGATGAGGGTGTTTTGCTGCCAGGTGAGCAGAAATGCCCCAGTGACAACTTCATAATCCAGAGAGACAGGGTTTGCCATTACGTTGTCTACTGTAGACACTGGACTCCACCTCACCAATCTGATTTTTATAAATTATTATCATATAATAGAACTATAATTTAAACCCTTTGTCCAGTTCCTTATGAAGTAAGAGTTGGGTTCTAAATAACTTATGATAATAACTTACAATCTTGAACATGGCTATGAAGGCACCTTTTGGCTTTACATCTCCTACTTGAAACGTAACCTCCTTCTGTCTCAGCACCACCTCAGGTGTTCCTCTCCCTGCATTTGTCCCAATTTCTCCAGTTTGTTTCAAAGGGTAGAGACATCATCATCATGATCATCATTATTCCCCAAACCAACCAAACCAACGTATCTCAGCA